CACACACACACACACACACACGTCACATATTGCATTTCATTGCAATGTGCTTATTAAATACTGCAATCTATGGATATGTTCAGAACATCCCAAAATCAAATCTTCATATAAAGGAAAGCTTTTATATCTCAGAAGACTGTCAGAAGGGATTCTTAGTTATGTTTAATTGAAATATTAACTTCGTCTCAGATGTTTGAGACTGAGTCTCAGTTGAGTCTCAGATTGAAAACATTCAATCAGTTAGAATGCACAGCTTTAAAATTAAATTAATAAAAAAACAGATATATTATATTTAAGATATTATATACAAGTTTTTTTCCTGTGGAAAGAACACAACAACATATGGTACAGATACATTCGGATGGCTTCACAATGCGTTTGTGTGTGTGTGATACGCACTGGTTAATGATGGGTGTGTAGGCCATTCTGTCCTCATCAATAACAGACACCATCAGCGTGATCAGTTTGGGCCAGAAGTCCAGGTTCTTGATGGACGGACCCTGTTCCTCACGTGGCAGATCCTGCTTCTTAGCCTGGAAAGATAGAAGATTGATACAGATAATGAAAATCTCTCCTTCTCCCACGTGTTTGGAGTTTAAATAATTCAGTCTGGTTAACTGATGGGACAGAGGACAATCTGAACACTCGGCACTCTGGTTAAGTGTTTTTGTTTCATAAGACACATTTTATTAGGTGGTGCAAACACACATGCACACAGGACTCTGGTCTCTGATTAAAACAATTTATACACAGCACATTCATATTTAGTGTTTCCTGCTCTTTAAGCTTATTAATGTCTTCATTAATTTTGTAAATCCTGAGTTCCGCAACAACTCCAGCCAAACCATTTATTAAAGCTACTCTCACACAGTCAGTGTTCAGGATCCTACTAGTCTATGCACAACAGTAGACTAGTAGAATAGAATGTTATCTGTTTAGACTGGTAACCAACTCAGTAGTTATTAACCAGGAGGCCTCAAGGTGGCATAAAATTATTTAAAATAAGACATAAGTTTTAAAATAAGTTAAAACGAAAAAAAATCAAGATATTTCCTTTTTTGGCCAAGCTCTAAAATATTTTTTTGGGTAGAAATTGTAAGTAAAATGTGTACTTTAAAAAAGGAAAGGGTAAAGGCTCACAAGCCAAGGCCAAATAAAAAGATGAATGAATTGTGCAAAATAAAACCAGGAATGTGTACTATGATAGTAAAAAGTGCTAGTTCAAGGATTTTTTTTTCTAAACTGTCTGACATTTTTGTTCAATTTCGTTTTTTTTCCTCCTCATAGTCCTTCATCAAACACTTAACAGGAGTTTTGTCTAGCACTACGACTGCATTCCTGCCATTTCTCATAACCTGAGAAAGTTTGACAGCTACAACATTAGTGTTTAACAGAGTTTAAGCTGTGGAACATGCACTTATATCAGAAGTACACTTTAAGCACATTCAAACAGCACATGTCTGCTAAACTTGCTCTCAAGACTTTCTTGACCTTTATAAAAAGCAACACCAAGGTCATGAGTTCGATTCCCAGGAAATGCATGAACTGAACAAAATACAAACCTTAAATGCATGTAAGCCACATTGGATAAAAGCATCTGCCAAATGCATAAACAGGAATTCAACATGCTTTTATAGCTAAACTTACATTCTAGACAAACACAAGCATATTAAAGATGCACTGAAATAACAGAAAAATAATAGAGAGAACCACTTGTATTGTTCCAAACAGGACTGACAACCGTGCTGCTATATGAAAGTCACCTAAATCCAAAGAAATCAACATTCAATGTGCATCTATAGACACCAGCTATTACACCGTGAGTGTGATTGGCTGAATTACAGGTGTCACCATCTCTTGGCACACAGGTCAAAGTTTACTTTGGGGGAATGTTTGTTTATCATGGATCTGGATGGTAAAATCAGCACTCTCACTTCCCTCTCACTGCCTCTCCCACAATGCACTTCTGTCTGACATCAGGCCAGGCTTATTTGATGGACAACTGGGCATCATGCCAGGATTATTTCGGGCAGTTCTCTGGGCTGTTTTCTACGGCAAGACAATTCTCAGTGAAACATGAGAGCTTTGGAATTCTCTGGTCTCTGGAACTTCTAGAATTATATTCAGTAGTACTGTGGGAAATGTATGAGTTGGAGCTGTCCATGGTACTGAAGCTTCATTCGAGGTGCTGCTTCACTGTCCATGGTGCTGAAACATTATTCACTGTGTTGATTCGCTGTCCATGGTGCTGCAACATGCAGTGGAGTCTGATTTGCTGCATTATGAGCATTACAAATCTTCAAGAGTTTTAGTGTGACAATTTTGCATAATTTCATAATTTTTCACAATTCCATTCAATTATAATTCTAGTCATGTTTTTATTAATTAATTAATTGATTTATTTATTTTTTGTGCCATAATTTAGTTTATATTTAGGGTCACAAGAAATTAATACTTCACATTTAATATTGCACTGAGTAAACACAGCTGCATAAAACAAAAACTGTGTTCGTCTTCATTTCAGGCTGCAAAGCAACAAAATGTGATTATTTTAAAGGGGGGTGTGATGTCAGGGTGTGATATGTTTGATGTCAGAAGGTAAGAAATATGATTTATCAGCATGTGTTTTTTTAAGGATCAGTTTACAGAAACATATTAAAACAGTCAATTCAGCTTTTACTAAACAGGGCAAAAATGCATCATGGATTATGTAACATGCACTAAACATGCTCTATGCCAAATTACGTCCTGTGGTACACACAAGAAAAAAATTATTGAAATGTTTTTGTACAATAGAAAGGATTTTTCTCCCTTTCTCTCAAGCATGGTTGCTTCCTGTAAGGCCACAGCAGCGAGTGTTTTATTATTCAGTTGTCTTGTCTTAAGCACCTGTGACGAGTCGGCTGCCTCCCCCTAATTATCAGCATCACCCCGTCCCTTAATCACCGCCCTTCGCCAGGTTCCCGACAGGATTGGGTGCGTGAGAGAGGAGGGGCGCTGAAATAGCCAGGGCTGGCGGCGTGTGATGGGGCACACCTGAACCGAATGGAGCCTCATCACCGCCACTGTTTAAATGCTGAACGCACCTCTCCTCGGGAGACCGGTCTCTTCCCCGTGCATGCACGCTGGTGTCCTCATGGGTCCAGGAAGGGTGCGTAGAGGGACTCCCGTGCCGCCAGAGTCGTGAGCTGCCGGACCCGCGGTTCGGACGAGAACCGCACCCGTTACACGGCTGTCGGGCCAGGATGCCGGGCCGTCTAGTCCCTTCAAGCGCCGTGGGAAATGAGAAGGATGCAGCCGCTGGAAGAAGCCGCCGCCCCTCGCGCCCCAGACTGGAGAGGGGAGCGCGTGCGGCCGCCGGACTCCGCCCCTTACCTGGACCCTTCCTTCCTGACCACTGCCCTTCCCTTCACGAACCCCACAGCACGACGAGGACACCAGATCCCCTGTTTATTTTGGACACTTGATTCCCTTTTTTCTGGACACTTTGTTTATTTTCTGTTAATAAAAGCCTCTCCGAGGCCTGACGCCACACCCACTGTGTCTGTCGTTTGGTCGTCCCGCCACACACCACACAGTTGAACACTAAGACCTGTATGTGTGTACAAGTCTACATTTACAGTAAGTCCAGCAGTAATACACTGAACACACATGCACATATAAGCTCTGTTGGAGCCTAATAAGTGACTCATAAAAGAGCCTTTCATGCTGACGTCTGTGTTGTGTATATGAGTCTGTATGTGGCGTGCGAAACACAGTTTTACTGAAGGAAAAAGCAGCTCCTTGAGGGCGTTGAGTAATATGTGCTGAATTAGATTAGAGTCAGAGCAAGAGCACAACACCAACTCACATTCCTCTACTGCTGCATCTGTAGAATGAGAGAAACACCTGTCCTTGATTCCTGTTATGAATGTGGAACAGCAGGATTCGTTACATTATATATGAATGATGAGGAGTAACATATATAGTGCTAAAACACAAGTGACAGCAACCACATAGCAACACCCTAGTAACTGCATAGAAACTCCTAGCAACCACATTGCATTGCCCTGAATGCCTTGGGAGATACATAGAAACACCCTGGCAATGATCCACAACATCCTAAAACTACAACACCAGGTTTTGCACAAGTAAACACAAATCACAAGTTCTTCAGAAAATATAAGCATCTAGTTATTAAATTAATTCCTCCTGAACATCTGTGTGGATCATTTAACTTTACATTGATCTTGCTTTATTTACTCTGTGACTGTGTGTGTGTTTGTGTGTGTATGTTACATCTCTAATGCAAGTTCACGGCAACAATGACAAGAAAGAGTGCCCACATCTGCTTGTCATCACACTGAGACAAGAGTGAGGTCATCACCACAAGACAAAGGACAACACATACACACACACACACACACACACACACACAGTCTTCACACAAAGACTATTTCTCATGCAGCTGAGTCACTCCACTTAGCTGCAAAGGTGAGATTAAATGAGGGATGGATTTTCCTCAGGGCGCGTGTGTGTGTGTGTGCATAAGATGGTACAAGAGAACTGATTGTTCCAGTGCATAAGAAGAGGATTTTGGAAAGATAAATATTTTATCCTTATTAAGCGTGCATGTGTGTCTGTAGGTTGTGTATTTTGAATAAAAAATTAGATACAGATAATTTTCTCAATTGTATCTATAAATTAGTTCTGTCAACTTGAAAACAAGATGCACGGACTGAAGTTAGAATGGATTAAATGAGAAAGGGTTTGTATCATATTGTTTTACTGTTCTATTTCCTTTCCTTGTCTTCTTGTGTATTTTTAATCAATGCATGTTCTTTCATTAACATTAACATTAACATTAACATTAACATTAACATTCAATTATGTAGGTAGGAACATGATTTTACTAGAATTTTACTAATTTACATTAATTGGCTGAAGTGACATTAACTGCAAAAGAAAGCCATTTCAGAACAAATTATTATATGTTATTGATTACAAAAGTCAAATGTCTGTCTTTGGAATAGAAAAAAAAACTGTAAAGAAATGGAAAAAAGAATCGTAAAAAATTATGATATAATGCCTTTCTAATTTATCCAGTTGCAAAAAGTGTTTGATGTTGGACAGCTACAAGAAACTAATCCATTACATTACATTTATATTCATGCATTTGGAAGATGCTTTTATGCAAAATTGAATCCACCTTGACACAAATCAGTGTGATGACATACATGGAGATAGCATGATGTTCTGTGTGCTGATCCTCCTGTCAGATTCACCCTCCACTGAAACACAATGGACACTTCCGTCCTCATCCTCCCCTCTGGATGAAGATGGGCCACTCCAAACGCTCTCTGTCTTTTCTGTGGTTATTTTCTGCCCTCAACAGTATCATGTTTGGTGATTGTCTGTGGTGAAATGAGGCCCTGCAGCAGGTCTGAAGTCATTTCATTCTGAGCTCTGAAGATCTTCACGCAGATCTCACCTCAAGCCTTATTTTAGCTTGCTTTTTTATTGCTCATGAGACTAAAAGCCAACATGAAACAGCGTTTTACAATACTTGACAACATCTGAGCACAGTTTGAGACACTGCTGAGGTTTCTTTTGAAACTCTAAAGGAGACACCTGAGATTATCAGGGTCTTTTTCTCAAAAACGTTTACATTTACACCTCTACTAAAAGATAATCTGCATTTTAGCATTAAAAACATGAATTTGTGTGTTGGGTATGTTTCTGATGAACGTTCCTTGAAGCTCATGGTATTTAGATGTAAAAATATATCTCTAATCATCTAAAACACATGCCGGTCCTCTGCATATGACTATAATTAACTCTTAACTCTAATTAAAGGGTGCTTTGAGGGCTTCGCATTATTGCATGTTTCTGGTGATGCTCTTTCAGGTGTGAGTTTAACGTGAATCGTGTAAATCACAGCTACCCGCTCTGCTAATTGCTTCTTCTGCAATATGTGCAGTTTATTTATTTATAGATCATAAAGTGGTTTAGCATAAATAGCTGAATCTCTTGAGAACAACAGACTATATTTCATCCAAATTCATCCAATACAAAAACAAAAAAGAAATAATATTTTGCATAAAGAAAGATGCCTATTTTAATCCCATTAACCTTTTGTATTTATTTATTTATTGTATTGTGACATTAGATTCATGACAATTAAGCACGTTCTCATTACTGTAATGCATCCAGATTTTTACTTTATATCAGCATTAAAGTGTTATAACAAATATGACAATATATAATTATTGACAATTTCATCATTACAACATTATTTAATATTACTTAATTATGAATTATTATATATTATTATTATTATAATTATGAATTAAATTTCATACTTAGGAACAATAAAAATGTGAAAATTTGTCAAGAAAATAATAAAAAATAGCCTTAAATTTTTTATGCAAAATCGAATTTATTCATTTATGGGGATAAATAAATAAATTAGATTTTGCACGTTTTTTGCAAGTTAAGGCCCTTTTTTGTTGGAAGGTCAAAAAGAAAATATAATGTCTGAAAACACTATATGACTGTAATAAAGTATTTAAAAATATATATATAAATCAGCATTAAAGTGGTACAAAAATATGACTAAATAATATATAATTATTAAAAGTCATCATTATAACATTATTTAATAATTAATTATTATATATTACTATAATTATGAATTTAATGTCATACTTGTCATAAAAATTATAAAATAGGATTAATTTCTTTACGCAAAATCAAATTATTTTTAATAATATTAAGTTCAAACTGAAAATATAGTGACTCACACACCCAAATTATGAATCCATATTCATTTTTAATCGGTATTAATCCTGCACACTACGCAAACTAAAAACAAAATTTTATTTGCAACATTTCGGTCAATCGTCCTTCCTTAAAACACTTATAACACACATAAAATAAAACATTTTGCAAATAACGTTTTCCGATGATGTAAGTTGGAGTAGTGTGTGAGATTTATACATTCTTTTTTTGGAAGATGAAATATGACCCGTACATGTCCTTGACTGGTTTTGTGAAATTCACTGAAGTATTTTCTGTCAGTTTTTTAATCTCTTTATCTCTGTAAATTTTCTGCCAGTTGTTCTGACTCACTGCGTCTCATCTTATTTCCACCAACCATGCATCTTTGTTCTTTTCCAGTCCTCATGTTTCCACGGATCTCCTTCACTCACATCACACTAACAGGATTTGGTTGTTTCCCGCGCACGTGTCTTAAGAGCTTTTTGACATGATTATATAACATACCAACCCACCTGATGCTGCTATATTTTATATATAAGACATCCAGAGGAGGAACATTCCATGTGCACCAAATAAAACCCTGTTTTCCTCTCCATGGGGCCTTTGCCTCATTTACAGAAGAAGATGGGTCAGTTCTGCTCCAAAAGCCACTAAAATAAAACCGCTCCACTAGTGAGAGTTAAACTCTGGTAATTTTAGCTGCGTTGTGTTTGGGGAATCTGCACTGTTGTTTAGGGCTGATGAACGTTCTTTGGGCGCTACTGCTGTCTGCTCGCGCATGAGCTACACGTTTGAGTTCAGTGGCTGTGGACGAGCGTCTGTCTTATAGACTGAAGTGATGCTGACAGTCCTGCTCTGCAGAGCTCAATAAACGTACAGTATAAACACAGAAACATGAGGATTTCTGCGGGACAGGATCAATGTTATTAAAACTAACTATTAAAAATAGTTTTTGTTAATTCCAATAAAGCTGAAGTAAAAAATATATATAAATACTAGAAAAAACAAACAAAAATTACAAATTTTGCCAACTAACTGAAATAAAATAAGCTGAACTACTAAAATTACTAAAACTGAAATAAAACTAAATTAAAGCTAAATTTAAATGTTTAAAAAGTGAAAAACTAATAAAAATGACAAAAGCACAGCAAAATTACTAAAAAACTAAAGTTAAAATGAAAACTGAAAATATAAAAAAGTTATATTAATAAAAATCAAACATAATATAATAATAAATAAAAAATTAAAGATAAATTGAAAATGAAAAACTAATAATAATGACAAATGCACATAACAAAATGACTAAAACTTACATTAAAACATGAAAATATAAAAAACTAAAAAATATATATTAATAAATATTAATGAATACTACAACAGTATAAAATTACTAAAATTAAAACTGAAATAAAAATAAATTAAAGCTAAATTAAAAAAAAATGAAATACTAATAAAAATGACAAAAGCACTAAAAATGACTAAAACTTGAACTAAAATAAATTGAAATCTGAAACTATACAAATAAAATCTATATTTATAAATAATAATAAATACTATAATAGCATATAAACATATAACACCGCATAGTATCGTCTTTTTCACCAGGTCACAGAGCACATAAATAAAATATCTGAACACATTACGGTAATAGAAAAAATGTGCTTAAATGAGCTTAAATCTCACTCGTACGTTTGGACATATTATTATTATTTTTTTGACACCATGTCAGCAGCATGGTGAGAACGAAGTGAATAATATAAAAAAAAATGTAAGATTAATACAAGAGAAAACGTGGAATATACTGTATCACGTGAATCATATGAACTTTTGTGATTTTCTATGCTGGTGGAGGTTGGAAAGCCCTGGTCAAGATGCAGTAAAGAACAGCATGAACATTCTGCCAAAAATCTCCTTTTGTGTTTCACAGAGGAAAGTAGACGCGTTTGGGACAGCATGAGGGTGAGTAAAGGATGACAGACTCATTTTTGTGAACTATCCCTCTATAAACCTTAAAAATCAATGAAATACTGACAGTTTCAGGGAGGGAAAACACCACAGCTAGAGAGTTTTATGACACTTTCGGCAAGCGTGACACTGTGACGGAGGATTCTGGGGTCAGCGCTTCAGATCATGTTGTGTGTGAACGCACGAAAGCCACTGTGTTAGTGTGTGTGTTGTGCGAATGGACCATGAGAAATTCTGCTGTCATGTCTGACTGGAGAGATCAGATCGAAGCGACAATACACACACACACACACACACACACACACACACACATACACAGCAACAGCATCAGAAATAAATAGTGTCATAACACTGCATGTACTTTACAACCGGGGTGAGAAGAGAGAGACGCTCTCTTCCAGCAAGGAAACACCCTTCTCTCATTCTGCACACTCTCTTTTCACAGATGTCATTGCTTGGAAAACGCATTGCAAGCGTGCCATCCAGTACATATTTAACAAAACTCAATACTCAAGGCAGACTGGGTTTCCTTCAAACCTCTGCTGTTAAAACCACATTTGTTATTATTCAGGTCGGCGCTAAACATGACAAAACATTTGTCACTGGACGAAGTTTATCAGTTGCATGTGTTTTGACAATTTAAATATTCAAGCGATAAGACGACACGAATGAGAACTCAATTCATGCACAGAAAGCTGCATCTCAAGCGTGCAAATACTGAATTGAGCTCTATATTGTGTTTCTTCTTGCTCCTAAATGGACAAACACAGGCAAGATTATATCAAAATGCTCAAAAACACGGTTGTTAATGTCTTAAGTGAACATAAACAATTGGAAAAGAAACCGGATACATATCATTATATTGGATCCATGCATTAGGTCTTAATTAGGTCTTATTTAGTTAGTTAGTTAGTAAGTTAGTTAGTGACAGGGCCAGTGAAAAACTGAACTGAACCACTGGCCTAACTAAGTCAGTAGAAAACATCCTTAGCATTGAGCTTTGAACACTTCAACTAACTTCAAACAACAACTGTTGATTTTATTGATTACATATATATATATATATACACACATATCAAAATGTTAAATTATTATTTTTTTTATTATTTTTGTGATAGGGCCATTGAAAATTTTGGTAGGGCAAATAAAAAAAAAAACGGAACCACTGGTCCAACCAGGCCAGCACATCCTCAACACTAATACTAACACTAACATTAATCTTCGCACTGAGCCCTGAACACTTTAACTTTAACCAACAACTGGTCCACCATGACAGTATTTGCCCTGAAAGAGAAAACTAACCGTAGAAGAACACCGTTTGCCTGCTATTGCATCCCTTGTGGAAACATAGTCTGCATTCATGCATTTGAGTATGTTTGTGGTCGTACTGATCTTAGAGTCTTTCTTAACCCTGCTGGTTAGTCTCCGCTCTTACCTGGTCCAGCAGTTGGTTGTAGAGCTCATGGCAGTTGTCAAATATGTATTTGTAGGTGGAGTCCAGACAGGCCTTCACACAGTCCTTAACCACCATACTGGCTCTGGGAGGATTCTGCAGCTCCTGCACCTACAGCACAAAAACACACTCACAGTTAGTCCAATAACACACACTCACACACACACGACGGTTCATCACACAAAACACAATCAGTAAGCCAGGATATATGCAGTTTTTAAGGTGTTGTGTGTAGTTTGTAGTTTCTATGGCTTTCTGAAAAGTTTTCAGTGTTGCTATGCTCTGGGTGGTTGACGCCATAGCGATGAAGTTGCTAAGGTGTTTTGAACTATTATGGTGTGTTCAAGTCATCCTGGGAAGTTTGTGTTTACGAGTTGGGAAGTCATAATTACGATGTCCGATGTGTTAATATCACTTTGGTTGGAGAAAACTGGTGATAAACCTATTGAAAAGCAATATTTTAACACCACTTCTATAAAATGATGAATAAAGAATGCACATTAGCTGTGTTTTGCTGTTTTTTTAATATTATCTCTGAAGAAGCTACATATATACACAAATTTTGTATGTGTAACTTATCTAGTTTTATTGTATTTGTTGTACAAATGTTGTTATTGTGAAAAAACTAATATATATACACACTCGTAATTATGATACTGTTCATTTTCCCACTTGAACACACCATTATTAACACACTAGAAACCACACAACACCTTAACAACTACATAAAACACCTTAGCAACCACCCAGAACTCTGTAGCAACTGCATATCAGCACCCTAACAATGACCCTGGGGTCAGTTGAATAAACTGCTTATGACTAGTCATTTTTCTTCAAGACTGGTCATAACATATTAAAGTCAGTTACAAAAAAAGTAGATTGGTCTAATTTGAATCCAAAAAGACTTGGCTAACTAGCAACCACATACATAGTAACTATGTGGTTACGAGGGTGTTGCATACTGGTTCAAGTCAAAATATTCAGTGATGTTCAGTTTTTTAGTCGTGTTTTGTTGTCCACAATCACAATCACTTGCATAAGTCTGATCACCTAATAAAGTACCAGCATACCTTCATGTCTGCAGCATAATCGCTTCTGGATGAGTTAAAATTCTATACTTATACTGATTAGAGATGACAAACACCTTTTTTTCTCAATTTTTCCAGTATATTGTGGACTTATTTCTTTCCTTGCACAGAAGAAGACATTAAAAACACTCACTCAGAGTATGTAAATGAATAACACGAGAATGTACAGATTAGTATGTGTTTCTTTTTGCCTTATGTAACGGCTAATGTGTCCCATTCCTCCGCGCGTGCCGTGTTGGTGTTTCTGAACGCGGGCGCTAAGGGCAGTAATAAACATCGCCCTGGCATGGGCGCTCTTCCATTACCCATAATGCATTGTGACAGTTAGAGTTTTATTCTGTGCCTGGCAGTGCTTTCTCAGTGGGCGGAGCTTCCTCTGCCTCTTTAGCTGCGCTTCACTGATTTGCCTGCTCAGGCCACTCTAACTGTCAGTCATTAAAATGACGAAGTGCTTTTTATAGGATGCAAGGCCCAGCTAATGAACTGACAGCCCTGTGTGTGTGTGTGTGTTACATCATATCTCATGCCTCAGTCTACTCTACACGACTTAATTCTAGTAGTTCACAGCCCATCAAATCTGGATGTGGGTCAATGACAAACAAAAATGATCAGGAGATGATCACAAGGGTGATTCTTATAAAAATCAAGTGTAAAATACAAGCCAAGTCCTTAGGAATACAATATATTTCTATTTATGATGGATTAAAATAAATAATAATAATAATAATAATAATAATAATAATAATATATATGTGGTATTTTTATAAAATGGTATTTTTCCATGAAATCAATATTTATATATTACAAAATGATCTATAATTAATAATTAATTATATA